TCACTACCATCTGTTCCCTGGTTGCAGAGGGAAAAGATCCATGGCTTTTTTTTTTTTTAAATTCAGAAAGTCCCCAAGAACTTCTGATACTTGGAAAAGTTAAAACACAGTGTGATCCTTCTTTTGAAGTCACCTGTAGTACCAGAGTCTCACTTAGCACACGTCATTTACAAATTCCTGACTTTAATAGAAGTTTATAATCTTAATTCTTATGGTGAGGACAATCACAAGTGCATTATATACCTATTACTTCTTGATACAACACATTTTCCATGTTTATATTTCGAATGTGGCTTAATTAAAGCTACCTAGGCTCAAAGCTGTATTAGAGTTTTATTTTTTAAATGAATGAGAGATTTTATTAAGTACTAAGGATTTCCAAACTAAATGTTTGTAAAGCCACTGGACCATTGAACCACTAAGAATAATACTAACTTGTCTTTTTGTTTGTTTGTTAATGTGTTTTTCTTTTTATCCCCTAGAATGAGGTGAATAAATATTTAATTTTAAAAAGACATCATATGTTGAAAAGTTATTGATGGTTAAGACTTCAGACTATAATAATTTTAGGCATGAAAATGAATTTTTTTATCTATGCATAGTATCAGTGGTTTCCTAAGAATTATTGCATTTTGAATGATTTAGTTGATGGGAAACAAATTACATATAAGAAGTTCAATCCTAAAATGACACTAATATATAATTAATTTTTCTACAGATTCTGTAAATATAGTTTACTTTTTCAATACAGATATGAGTACGAAGAAAGTTGCACTGCTATTGTGAGGGAAATGATAAATGGAGTCATGAAAGAAAACAATTTTTAATTTAGCAGACTCTATCAATCTAGAAAGCCCATGAATATTTACCATTAATTCAGTATGCTGGAATAGATGAAAGAGGTAGAGAGTTCATGCAAGATAAAGAGCAACATAAAATAAGATACTGTAATTATATCAAAATCTATTAAAATTTTCATGATTTGAAATCAATGGTAGTTTCATGTATCTAAGTAAAATGATAAACACATATTTCATGTATAATATATTGAGATACTCTGAGATATGTGTAAGGTCTTTGTTCTGATAGCAACACCACTTAGAAAATCATGATATAATACATATCATTAATAGTATGATAAGTTATTATGTATATTTATGGTCGAAATACCCTGTTCTTCTCCATGTAATATCAAATAATTTCACCCTTTGCCTGAAACTGACTTTAAAACTATGATCTCTATCTTTGGTCTCACTCTTCTCTATTTCTTAGGATCTTTTAGCAATTCTGTCCAAATTAGTATATGCACGTAGATTTTGTATTCAGTTTCTAACCATTGTAAATACACAGAAGACTCTGAATTCACATTCTAGTAGTACGAGTGCCCCAGTGAAGAAAACAACTTCCATAAGACAAGTTCTTTAATGATTTTTTGAGACAGGGTATAAAAGGAAAATGAGTTATCTAGTTCAACACATTATTTTAAAAAGGGTTCAGTGGTGTAAACTTATAATTATGTCAACAAATATATAGTACAGATCAACACTTGAATCCTGAAAATTACAGATTAACTCAACGTGCAGCATAAGGTTGTAGAGATCTCCATCAAAATTCTAATGGTAATAGGAATTTTTACTTATGATCATGCACCAACCCTAGCCCTTACAATCTTTCCACCGCTTCTTCCACAATGATGCCTGAGCCATGAGTGGGAGAGTTTGAATATAGGAGTCCAGTCCAGGGACAGGTTTTTTGCAGTACCTTATTGTCTGTACTTTGGCCAGTTGTGATCTTATGTGTGCGTAGTACTCTGCTGCATTAGTAGTCTCTCCGCCCCCTGTTCTGCTATGTTTCATTAACCTTAGGTATAGAAGTTCCATTGTAAATCTGTCACTTAGGACTGGACGTCTCTCAGACACTTATTCTCTGTGTTTGATCACTTGTGGAACTCTAATAGTCTCCATCTGTTGCAAAAAGAAGCCTCTTTGCTGATTACTGATAGGTGAGGGAGAATTGATCTTTAAGGAAGAGGCTCTAGATAGGCTGACTAGACTGTAGTGATGAACTTGCACTGAAGGACATCCCCAAAGTATTAATTCTTACATAAACTTGACTACATAGGCCTTAACATATTGGAGGTATTGCATGAAATCTGATGAGGATAGGGGAGGGGGTATAAAGATGTGTAATATGTTTTATATGAAGTGTATAAAAATTCAATAACAATATAAAACTATTATAACAGGATTAATTATTCCAACTATCATTAGTTATGGGTTTAGTATCTGTATATGGTTATCTTTAGGCTTTTACATTTCAGGCCCCATCTAGTGCCACCAAAGTTCTCAAAAATAATTAGGCTGTGATGTCCTGACTTCCATTGTATATCATCAATTAACTTTCCTTACGTGATTCTTTTTTCATATTATTTCTTCATCTCTTTTCTTTCTCTTTCTTTCTTTCTTTCTTTCTTTCTTCTTTCTTTCCTAATTTATTTTGTATGTGCATTCTCATGTATCCCTTGGTGCATATGTGAAGTTCAGAAGACAACATGTGGGAATTGGTTCTCTCATTTCAACATGTGGGTCTTGGGAATCTAACTCTGCTCATCAGGCTTAATGGCAGCCTAGGTATGTCTCCAGTCCCTCATAGCTTCCTATGCTGAAATAATAGCACCCATGGGAAAATTGAGAAAAGCATCACTCATAATTTTCTGTAGAGATTTATTTTTTCTGTTGAAATCGTGAAAAAATGGCTCCGTTTCCCATTAATTACTTAAAACTTTAATCTCAGCAAAACTTTATTACTATGTTAATTCTCATAATTCTGTGGTGTAAGGGTGCTTTATTAATTTTTATTGGTACAAATATGTAACATTTTTGCAGTGTTCAAGAAGAAATCATGGAAAATTTAGAATTGGAAATTGAGAGGCCATTTGATCTACTGGTATTCTGGATATAGTCCTTTATGTTAATTATAGCACAATGTAAATTTGAAGTATATAATCAAAACTTGCTTTATTTTCTATTTCTCATTTATGCTTATTTTTAATATGTTAATACTTAGAAAAGCATCATTTTCTCATTGAGGTTCCAATGCACTAATCGTGTAATTTGTTAAAAACTATCACAGTCTCTCTTCTTAACGGATTTAGCAGACATATTTCTAAACATGTTTCATGGGCATTTTTATTTTTTAAACAGTTTTAAGGAAGGTGTCCAGGTTCATTGATGGCTCTTTAAACAATTGTTTCTAATTAAATATGTGACTATGCAATCATTTTAATACTCTTTGTTAACAAATTATCATGACTTCTTTCCTCTTTTGTCGGGAGAACTGAACCCTAGGTCTATGGTTTATAACTTTTGTTATTCATCTCTTCTTCTTTTCAGTGTTTGTGTCTTATGTTTGCATGTATGTAAGTGCAGCATGTGTATGCAATGTCCTCAGAGGCCAGAAGAAGGTGTCAGACACCCTGAAACTGCAGTTAAAGATTGTTGGTAACCAACACATGAATACTGTGAATCAAATCCAGATTCTCTGAAACAGCAATCAATACTCCTAGCCACTGAGCCATGTCTCCAGCCCTTCTCCAGAATTTTGGACATGTTAGACAAGCACTCTAAGTCTCCATCCCCAACGTACTAATTCTTAATCATAACATAGTTATGTGATATTTATGTCAAAAGATGGTCAATATATCTTATTAATAAATATGTGTAAAACTTGATAATATTAGTTTAATGTGAAAAAGAAGTGCCCAAGTTTTTACTCACAACTCAAAATTTGTCATGTGAAAACATGTATTTGTAATTTGTAGCACAAATAATTAATAAAAATAATTTTTTCAATTTCCTAGTAAAATTTCTTCATGGAATAGGGAATGGAAATGAAAATTAATAGAGCTTTAGTTTGTAGAAATATTTAGGTCAATATAAAATATTTAAGTAAGAATTTTTCAGCTTTGAACACTCAGGGCCTTGGGTATTTTTTAGGATTCATTTTTTTTTTTATGTATAAAAGGTTTTGGCTTGTATGTGCACCATGTGCATGCCTGGTGCCTGTGGAGGCCAGAAGGAGCGTTGAATTCTCAGGAACCATAGTTACATAAAATGGCTGAGAGCTACCATGTGAGTGCTGGGAATTACATCTGGGTCTTCTGAAAGAGCAGCAAGTGCTCTTAACCTCTGAACCTACTGTACAACCTTACTCAGGACCTTGTTATTTATAACATACATTTTGTGTATGTGTATGTATATGCATGGGTGAACACGTTCATATTATAAGGTAGCAGGTATGGGGGGTATGTGTTCATATAGTTGCATGTGTGTGTGGAAGCCAGAAGTTGACTTCAATTCTGGTCCTCAATGACTGCCCACTTTGCTTTTTGATATGGATTCTCTTATTAGGAACAGTAAGAATTACCAATTAGACAAGTTTGGCTGGTCAGCAAGCCCATGATCTGTATGTATCCACTTCCCCAGTTCTTAACTTTCAAACACACCACCTTCCTGTTTTTTTTTTTTTTTTTTTCACATGGGCACCAGAGATGGAATTTAGATCCTTTATCTTGTACAAGAACTTTATGGACAGCTGTCTCTCTATCCTCTGTTCACTTCACTTTAAAAATGACTGCCAGTACACTGACTAGTAAGAATATTTTTACACCAAAAAAAAGATCTCCAATATCTTTTGTACTTTCTGTTATAATAAGTAACATAAAATGGCTTTGAAATAATTGAGGACAAAAAGTAGAGCTTAATTCAGCAGTAACAAGGGATACATACAATTATATTTTCTATCTGATCTGGAAAGTTATTGTCACCTACTGTTGTACGAAGGACAGGAACAAGTCTTCATTCAAATCCCTTTTTGATGAATAAGGTTAATTTTTATTATTACACACTTAAAATGCTTATACACTATTATTTGCCTGGTGTAGAAATATATGGTGCATTTCATATACAGAACAAAAATAAGGGCACAGAATTATGAATTACCTTTTTCAATGTGCATCCTTTTTGATTCATGTGCCATATCGTGACCTGCCAAATCACCCTCCTTTGGCCCAGGAAGCACATTTGGTGACAAGCCCATCAGCATCTGGTTCATGGACAATCCATTCTGATGGACAGCTGTTAGGGCAAAACAGAAGAATGAATAGAACAACACCATAACATGTAAGCTCAAATATTTCAATTGAACTGTTTTAGAATCAAAAGTAAAATATAAAGATATAATCTCCAAACTCTAAAACTATAATCCAAAATTAAAATGCTGTGAGATTGATAACCAATTTAATTGTTGAGGATAAGGAGAAAAATCTGGAAATAGCACAATTTTACTTAATTTATTAATTTATTATTTATTTATTTGTTTATTTATTTTTTTATTTATTTATAGATTGGGTCTCTCTGTAGCCGCAGCTGACCTGGAACTCACTTGCTATATCATCCAGGCTGGCTTAGGTTTCACAGAGACCTACCTTCCTCTGCCTCCTGAGTACTGCGATTAAAGGCATGTGCCACCATGCCTGGCTTACTTATTTTCAAGACAAAACATATTTTTCATGGCTAGAATAATTTTGAATGTCAATATTACCACAACTACCATTAATGAAATATTGAATATTTAAGTTCTCTTCTTGGTAAGTAAACTTCATCAGCTTTAAACACCTGTAGTCTCAGCATTAGAGTGTTCCTTAATCCTATCAGGTTAAAACAAGATAGTGTCCTAGTGGTCTGCAAAAGCAAGTGTGGCTTCCCATAAGTTAAGGAACTGGAGTCACAGTTTTGATAACTTTATTTTATTCTTCTTCATAGAACACTGTGTCATAGCACAGATTTTTTTCCTAAAGCTAGGTTTCAAACTAAAAATCAATTATTATCTACTAAATGGTTAAAATTAATTTCTTTCTTGAACTGCTAATAGTGATCTGTAACTACTCCAATGATAAAACACTATTATTATTCAGACGGCCAAAAACTTGGGATTCTGCACCACCTTTCGATGAATTCATTTACAGGACTACTCACAAACATATTGTTTGTTTGTAAAAATTGAGAAGGAAGAATCATTGTATAAAATCTTACTTCTGGACAATAGAGATTTTTAGAAATATCACTGGAATATGGTGAGGGTTATCATTTTGCAGCAACTGTCCCTGATAGTTATTTGAAGTATCAATGACGACTCAAAAAGTAGTGATGAATAATAGATTATTTACATCCTCTTTCCTCACAAGATGTTTAATATCTTTTAATGTAACAAAAGTATATTTGAAAAATTAGGTAGCAATGCATTTGTTTATACACTAAAAAATATTAGTGGGAAAATTCATAAAATGTGGGGAAAAATCTACAATTTGGATAATAATACAATAATAATCCTAATTTCTTGATTTTCATCATTGTTCTGCAACTATCTAGCAACAATCTCCTCTCTGACAAAATGATTAAAAAATTATTTGAAACAAGATTACCAAATATCTAGGATAGGGAATTTGCCTTTTTAAAAAAGTAAATTCATTGACTAATTGAATCTAATCAGTCAGCCTGGGTAGCAAGTATGTACAAATCTTTCTCATTATGTTTGAATAATCCTTGTTAATCATCTAAAATTATGCTGGGCATGTTGGCACCTGCCTTTAATCCCAGCATTGTAAGATCAAGGCCAGTGTGGTCTACATAATGAGTTCCAGGCCAGCTGGAAATGGGTCTACATAGAGACCCTGTCTCAAAAAGAAAAAACAAAATCAAAACCGAAATAATTTAAAGTTATTTGAAAAATATTAAAAATGAATATGCATAATTTTTTGGGAGACAGGGTCTCAATATATTGACCTGGTTAACTTGAAACTTACTATGCAGCCCATGCTGATCTCAAACTCACAGAGATCCACCTTTCTCTGATTCCTGAGTACTGGAATTAGAGGTGTGGGTCACCACACCCGAGAAATCTGAATATTTTAATAGAGGTATCCATATGCATGTTTGTGCATGTGCTCATGTTTCTATTTGAACAATTAAAGAAATTTAAGTATGTACAAGAATCTGTTTCTTTCATTAATTCTTTAATTTAATTATTAGTATGACGAAAATGACTAGTTAAAAACTTTACGGAGCTGCATAGATGGCCCAGAGGTTAGGAACACTGGCTATTCTTGCACAGGACCTGGTGTGAATCCCAGCACCCACATAGCAGCTAACAACTGTTCATAACTCCAGTTCCAGGGAATCTAACACCTTTTTCTGCCCTCTGCAGGCTTTGCGCATACATGCAGGCAATACACTAAGACACGCAAAATAAAATGACAATATTTTAAAGCTCTTTATATATCAATTCATCTATCACTTCTATTTAATTTTTGGAAAACATGTTTATTTCTGTAGGAGGATAGCATCTTTCCAATGACAATAGCTTACACAGTGTTAGAAACAGATACACATTGTTAACTTTCTGATCCTAGATCACTCATTGTTTAAAACAATACAGACAAGATTGTATTCAAAACCTCCTTGGAAGTAGTGACAGCAAAAGTTTGCCAACCTCCAAAACTGCTAGTAGTTTATACATTATTATCAAATGTGCATCCACTTTTTCCCTAAAAAGTCATCTTTCATTTAGTTAAAGGAAATAAGATTTAAAAAAAAAAAAAAACAAATTAAGTATTTATATTTAGTTCTCTCTCTCTCTCTCTCTCTCTCTCTATATATATATATATATAATGTACATGTATATAGCTACGCAATTACTAACAATTGACTATTTTGATTTTTTAAATGCTTTTTTAAAATGTATTTCTTATTTAATTTTTGATATTTTCATACAATATTTTTGATGGTATTTATATCCCCTCCAATATCTATACCTTCCCCACTGTACTCTGTCCAATTTAATGTACTCTCATATATATGTATACATATACATATATGTAATATATATTACACTATATAATATGACCTATATAGACTGATTTGTGTCTCCAAATGTCCTTTAGTGTTAAGTGCTAGTTTATATATTTTGAGTAATCTATTCCAAAAATGGTCAGATTTTTAATTTTCCTTTCTAAAACACTGCTTTGTGTCTTAGATAATATTTTCTAGGAAATGTTTCCCAATATGGAAACGTTCCAAATATCCAATTAAATCTCATTTTGTGCAATTAGTTGAAATTTATTTTATTATTTCATAAAGCAGTAAATGAGCTCTAGAAATACTAAAACCATATTACTGTTCTCAATCAAGTTATCATTTAAATATAGGCTTTTTGTTTTAAAAAGAAACTATGTTTTATAAGAGTACAAAATTTTTCATTTTAACTTTGCTCTCTCTACCTGGCCAGGAAGATCAAACTAAATATTTTGCTTTAAAACTTTTTATTTTCAGGTATATGTATGTATGTCAGCTTCTGTGGGAGCTTGTGCACTTGAGTGCAGGTACCATAGAGGTCAGAAGATGGCATTCTATTTCCTGGAGCTAGAGTCAGGGCAGTTATAAGCAGGCATATGGGTGCTAGGAATGAAACTTTGGTCTTCTGCCAGAGCAGAACTTAACCAGCGAGCCATCTCTCCGATCCCACAAGAAAATATTGCAAAACTGTTATGAAGTAAGATGTGGAACTATTTTTAATTTTTAATAGTCATGTGAAATTAAGCTCTGCTTTTATTGCTGACTGAAATCCTAAAACTAGCATTATTTCCATTGATTATCTGAATGGTTGAAAAAAAAAGATTTTTTAATCTATTGTGCTCAATTTGATTTTCTTTATTTGTTTTACTTTTTATATTAACATAAATATGAATGTCAAAAAGCGGGAAAATTTTTAAAAGGCTGAGGTTTCAACCGAAGAAATGTGGTTGGATAAACCATCAACAGTGTACTTGGATGTTAGCTGAGAAAAGGCTGCTACTTCAGGATCTACTCTGGAAGATTTCTTACTTCCTCTGTTTCACTGCTCAAATCTTTATGTGCAGTATCAAAGAGAGGGCATTATATCAGAATCTGTTAATGTTGGCTCATACTTCATGGTATTCTAAACTGAGAAACATAACTTTGAGAAATGACTATGGCTACACAGCTTCAGAACACGATACATCTGAACCTATTTGGGATGAGGGCATCTTGATTAAAAAGCTCAGCTGCCCCTGATAAAGCTTAAAATGGTGACAAGTACAAGAATGAGACCTACGGATTCTGTCTGAAGAGCTCTCAGTCCGTGCTGGCGAGCTGGACACGCTGCTGCTGCGGTGTGATGACGGGTGGCTGCCAGGCCTTCGGCCCTCCTCTAGAGAGGGGGCTGGTGAGGGGCTGTCAGGGACACGCTCCTGCACCACCACAGGATAAGAAGGGAAAAAAAGAGGTCAGTATATTGAATCTTGATGGATGTTCATTTTCTATATACATTTAGAAATATGAAGATTTAAAAACTAATACTTTACTAAAAGACATCTTGAATCTTGATTAAAGCCTCGAATACAGCCAAATTCAAATTCTTCAAACCATTGTCAATCTGAATGACAAATAATTTTTCTTCATTGAGAGACCAAAGTAGAAAATTATGGTTTTATGGGTAAATCTCAGTGTGGTCATGGAAACTAGCAATTACCTTTTCTTTGGAGAAAATAATAGCTCAAAGAAGACAACTCAAACTGAGTAATAGCAACTATGCAAGAAAGAATTAAGGGAACTAAGCAAGGCTGAGTTCTAGGTGATTATTGTGAATAAATTCCTCCATTTGTTTTTCTATTTCTCACTTGTTGAAAATCATTTAGTGCATGCATTAACGATGTAAGTGGTCATAATAATATTACCAGAGACACTGTCGACAGCTCTTGTAGTAGGACACACTTAGATGGTCATAGTTTAAGTAATTGTGGATTTGGAATATAGTTTAAGATTGAAATTATTTTCTTTGGTTTAAATAATTCTCAGAGTGGCTCTGTCCCTCTCACTTTCTCTCCATTCAATCACGTACATTCATAATTATATGTATTGACTGTATGCCAGGGCAACTAGCTATCATGTTTCCTTTTATAATTTTGTATGAACACTTGATTCCTACTCTATACCTATCACTTTGATTAAGCTCTATAGCTTCACCATTAGAGATATGTGAAACTACATTATATACATTTCTACAATGAACTGATATACATGGGTTTAGAGTTTTAAAAAATCCATATGTGACCATTTTATAGTTTGAGCAACAAAATTTTGAATTTTCATTTTTTGATAGTAACAGTCATAGGCCTTGATAAACTGTCTCCTTAGTAATCAATATATATTTAAGAGTATAGAAATAAACTTCTACATTAAAAGTTGATACAGTATATCTTAATGGGATTGGATGATATAGACATTTAATAGAAGACTAAAGTTTCAAGGGGAAAACGTTCTAAACTGTAATTGGATTAAAAGATGCTAATGCTCTCAAAATTTCAATTTCTTTAATATAGAAAACAAGAAGGCCACCCAAGGCTGTGTACTTCCAGTGAGGAAGAGAGTGATTCACAGCACTGATCACGGAAGTTCCATTTGGCAAGTTCTTAGATGTGTCTGTGTGGATTTGTTTCCAGAGATTCTGGTTCACTAAGAGAAACAGCTGAATGGAACTCCCAAGGAGTGACATATTGAAATGCTAACGTCTGGTTCCTATGAACATGAGATTATATAAAGAAGGGTGTTTGCAGAAGTAATCAAGGCAGATCAGGCCATACTATAGTGGATAACTTCCTAATCCAACATGGCTAGCATCCTTACGACTTGTTGTGAAGATAAAGGACAGATGTTCTGTAGACTGAAGTGGAAGACTGGAGTTACACAATAGCAAGCCGAAGAATGCCAGGGCTTATCAGCCGCTACCAGAGCTGTGGAGAAGCAGGAAGGTTTCTACATAGAATCTCAGAGGAACATGGCCCATAGACATCTTGAGTTTGGATTTTGATAACTCAGAAACATCAGAATGATTTTCTAATATTTTAAGCCAAACAATTTATGGATATCAGTTTCACTGGTCCATAGGACACTAACATCCTAGCTGTGAAGAAGAGTCCATTCTCTTTTTTGAAGAGCTCCTTTAACAAGCAATTAAAATCAAGGAGCTATGATGCCCCTACCCTTTTAGTCAGTGGTCTACATTGCAAATAAACATCTTCAACGGATACACTGAGAATTCATTTGGCAGAACTTGACAAATAAAATGAAAGCAAGTGGAAAAATATCTAAATTTTTAAAAGTTCCACATCATCAATGATTTCCCATTGTGAATACCAAAGAATAAAATACATTTCCATAAGAAATTCTGTGACAAAGAACTTGTCTGCTCAAAGAAAACTGTAAAGATAAAAAAAGGAAAAATATTTTTAAAAAGGTCATCCACAATCTGCTCTTAATAAGTGTAATTAATGCATATTAAAATCCTCTAACAACAATTTGCTGAACCTTAGGAGCTTTGGACGGGTCTAACATTTGAATTGATTCTGTAAGAAGACAAAAAGTCCCACCAAAGCAAAAATGGTGGTTTCAGTCTTATCCTATAGAATCAGTCCTTCGTGTTAGTTGATGAAACGTTAAGCATCAAGTGCTCTACTTTCTGCTAAGAGAAATTTGATATTAAGATGAATATAAGATACTTATTTTCCAACTCCAGTCTACCACAGTTTCAGCTGAAAGACTGAAAAAGAGCCAGTGACGTAGGCAAGTGGGGGGATAAGACCAGAAGAGGGGGAGACAAGCACCCCACAGACCTGCAGGTCTAAAACAAGCTTGGTCCTTGCAGGTCCTCACACATCACAGAGTTGACACCTTGTGGGGCACTAAAGGAAAAGGGCAGACCTTTTGGTAATTTACAGATGAAAAGACTTTTCAGTCTACCTCAGATAACATTAAAAGTGAGTATTACAGCATATTATAGCAGTTATTTTTCAAATTAAGAAAGTGAATGTGTTAAATTCCTTTCTATTTCTATGATAAAATACTGATCAAAACCAACTTGGGAGGAATGGGTCTATTTGGTTTACACTTCCACATCAGGGAAGATGTGGTAAGAACTCACTTGAGGCAGGAACCTGGAAGAAGAGAGCATAGAGTAATGCTACTTACTGGCTTGTTCCTTTGGCCTGCTTTCTTACACACAGTCCAGGAAAACCAGGGGTCGGGGAGGGGCACCACCCACAGTGGAACGGTCCTCCCAAATCACTCAGCAATCAAGAAAATACCTCACAGACATGCCACAGGCCAGTCTGATAGAGGAAATTCCCAGTAGAGGTTTCCTCCCACCTGGTGTTTCAAGTTGACAATTGAAAATATCGAGCACAGTGAAGCTTTTAATAGTTCTAAAACAACTAAATTGTTTAGACTATAAAGCGAATAAATGCCCCCAATTTTAGGAAACAAACACATATATGAGTTTAACTTGTATGCAATACACACTTGAGTATCAAATGCACTTTTTGGCTCATTGGTTATAATTTCAAAGGAATTTAAGTTGAAAATACTTTTACTGAATTTCACCAATCCATAAAGTAAGAAACAGTTTCAAATAGCAAAAAGGCTTATATCATATTTTGGCAACTGTAAATCAAGGTATAATCTGGGTTCCTAAAGTGTTTGAAGATTGTGTTTTGTTTTGCTTTTGCAGTATTTATTCACTTATTATAGAACAAGGGTATAAAATTTTTGAGTAAAATTTCTATACAGTGCATGGCCATATTGTTAATTATAATAATAGCTATATACAATTTGACATAGTCTCTAAAATTAATATAACCTAATATTGGTTTGTTTGTAATTGTTTTTCCTTCTTGAAATTTTTAGACATTTTTTGTTTGAAAATACCATGAATGCATAGAATGTGTTTTGATAAAATTCATCATCCTTTCTCTCCCTCAAATTTCTGTCCTTCCCCCTCTCTGCCAGTATTCCTCCCCAAATTCGTGTAATGATGTTTTTCAAACCCACTAAGTTCACTTAGTTTTCTCTGTATGTGCCTGGGTATAGGACCATTTACTGGAGCATGTATAGCGTCTCAGAAGTTGCATGTCTCAATAAAATCCACTCTCCCTTTCCCAGCAGATGTCAGCTGCCAATAACTCCTTGGTTAAGGTATTAAGGTCACACAGTTTGGATAAGCTTTAAAGATATTTCCTAAAATATATGACTGTTAAGGTTTAATTTATACAGAAATACATAATATGTGCTAGGAAAGAATAGTTGATATATTTTTATTAAGATAATTTTCAGGGCAGGAGAAATGGCAACATATTTAAGTGTCACAATCTGTGCAGATTTCTTTAATTCATGATTTATTTACTTATTTTTATACATCCAAAATAAAGATCACATGATAAACCAAATGAAAATAGATTAAAATCTCAATGCAAAATTCATTTTAAAGCATTAAAGCTTAAGAAAATGCACAATTTGTAACACATAATTTAGCTTTAGCTTATTTGACTTTGTTGTAATTTTACATTTAAGATCAAAGAATGCAATGAGAGTACTTAACACTTTTATTTACAGAAAATACTTTATGCAAATTTTATGATTTAAAAGCTTAATTATTCAATTGAAACTTTCTACAAATTGAGGCACACATTCAGGCATTTCATTTAATATATAATTTCAATCTTTAGAATATGGTGTATTGTTCTTTGAAGAATTTCATTAAAGTGAACTCCATTGAACAAGTAAGATTTGAGTTCATTGTTACACAAAAAATTAATTTATTTCAACAGCTTAATTCTTTTATCATATTTATAATTTTGCCTTTCCAGAGTATTCTATAAGATGGTGAATAATGGAGACTGTAAAGAATTACTTAGGAGAGAACCTTGTAATTATTACTGAAACAAAATAATGACTTTTAATTCAACATAATAAGAAAGTAGTTCAGTGTCTATAGAAGAACTATGTAAACTGGATTTATAATTTCATTTGTGTGATACCTTTTAACCTCTAAGCTGGGCTTGAAGTAGAAGAGAGAGTAAGAATATTTAATATTTTTACACACTGCTTTATAGTCTTGCTTCAGCTCTACCAGTCAATAAAGCACAACCTTTTGCAATATTCCATCTTTATAAAACTCACAATAATAAATTAAAATTTAAATGGAGTACTCTCACTGTAAAAAAAAAGATCAAACTAATAAACTAATGGTATAAGAATAACTATAAAGAGAAGGCTGCTTTCAGTGCTGCTAGGTAGAGCCGTAGTACTGGTCTCCATGATAACTAGAATCAAAGGTGCAATTCAAAAACCGTGTATTCTAAAATTCAAAAATAAAACACGAATGCTATTGGGTGTTGCATACATGAATGATTAAATA